TCGTGTTTTAACTTTGGATATAGGCAACAACTCCCTGTCAGGACGGATACCCGGGTTTCTTGGTCATCTATCCGAATTAAGGATTCTTATTTTGAAAGAAAATAACTTCAGTGGTTCTATTCCGAAGCAATTGTGCCAATTAAGTAATGTGAGTTTGATAGATTTATCCGGTAACTCTATCTTTGGTCGAATACCTTCTTGCCTCCAAAATATTATAAGCCCTATCAACCCTGTTTTCAGAGAACTTAGAATTTTCCGCTATGGTATTTCCTTCTGGCACTATCAGAGTGTTCTGTTTACAGAGTATGCTTCAGAATTAAGGTCAGAAATACTTGAGATGCAAGACGAAGTTCAGTTTACAACAAAAACTCAATCTCTCTCCTACAAGGGTCACATTCTTGATTTGATGGTGGGGCTGGATCTATCACGTAACAAACTAGTTGGTGAAATCCCAAAAGAACTAGGGTTGTTGACCCAGATTCACTCTTTGAACCTGTCTCACAATCAGTTGACAGGAACCATTCCGATGCAATTCTCAAATCTTGAGAATATAGAGAGCTTAGACCTTTCTTACAATGGTTTGAGTGGCAAAGTTCCATCAGAACTAAGTAAGCTGCATTATCTTGCTTATTTTAATGTTTCTTACAACAATCTATCAGGTCGACTTCCAGATATGAAAGCACAGTTTAGTACCTTTACCAATGAGAGCTATGAAGGGAATCCACTTCTTTGTGGACCACCACTAGAGAAGGAATGCACGTCTACATCACAGGTGACCGATCCATCAGGTAAAGAAGGCCTTGATAAATGGTATGAGATCAATATGGTATCCTTCTACGGAAGTTGTGGTGCGACATGGGTTGTGTTCCTGTTGGGATTTGTGGGTGTTCTTTACATCAATCCTTATTGGCGTAGAAGGTGGCTAGACTTGGTTGAAGAATGTATGTATACATGCTATTACTTCATTGATGATTCAGCAAGGAAGCTCTCGACGCTCTTCCGTAGATAATGTCTCCTTATGAATGTGTGATTTATATATTGGTATTTTATACCCAATCTTGTTGTCTCTATGTCTGTTGGTCTGCAACATCACTTCACTACTTCAGTACATAATCTACAAACTAATATCGATCACAACACTAGAAAATCAACAATATGTGCATCATAACATGTACTTGAATCTGCATAAGAGTGTCAATAACGGTTGCCCCTCCGAACATCTTAAGCAACAACTGTCCTTTTTCGTTCTTGATTTCCCCCTTTTCATCGGCATCTTTATGCATTGAATCCAACACATCTTTTACTGAAAACACATACTTTCAAGAACAGCCCTTGCTATATGAGACTTTTTTGTAAGCCTTGTAATCCCAATGCAAACACCGCCGACATCATCACGCCACCATGGTGCAAACAGTCCATTGAAAGCTGGAACAAAGTAAACACCACCGGTTGAGTCAGCCTTGATTTCATATGTGACCAATAACCTCAGCATTGCTTTCAGTTTTTGGTAGAATGGATTTAGGAATCTTTAAAGTTCCCGATGATGGATTCGTCCCAATCTGAGTGTTCAAACGATCCGCGGCTACCAATATATCTCGTGGTAACAAAAATGTATTGTTATGGGTTATATCAAGGTTCAGTCTCTGTTTCATATTTTGTCGACCAATCCCTCCCATTGTGTCATGGACCCATATTTTTACGAGTACTTGCCTCAACTTTGTAATGGTTTCCAGGTATCATGAGTAGTCTGATGCACTAAAACGGGAACAACCTTAGAAAAGAGGTCCTGAGGTCCTTTATTGCTTTATCATCCCTTAGATTTCTATCTTTAGCATCTAATTCCATGGAAAGGGTGGT